TTCATTTTAAAAATTTTTCGAATTTTCAGTTTATCAATTTTTCCCTTTCTAGATTCATCTGCATCTTGATGTTTCGTTTTTTTTAAATTTAAATTTTTCAATTTTTCTATTTCCCAATTTTTCAATTTTTCGACTTGTCGATTGAATTTCTCGATCTTTTGTTGCTTCGATTTCTCGATGTTTCAATTTTCCAGTTGTCCGATGTGTCGATTTTTCGATTTCTCGGTTTTTCAATTTTTAGATTTTCCAATTTTTTGACTTTTTAATTTTTAGATTTTTGGATTTCTGGATTTCCCATTTTTAAAATTTTCCATTTCTCGATTTCCATTTTTCAAATTTTAATTTTTCTATTTTTCAATTTTTCATATTTTCGACTTCTCAACTTTTCAAATACTTGATCTTTTGATGCTTCGATTTTTCGATTTTCCAGGTGTTCGAGGCTTCAATTTTTCGATTTTTCAATTTTCCAATTTTCTAATGTTTCGATTTTTCCCTTTTTCGATTTCCCAATGTATCTACATTTCAGTTTGCGACTTCTGGTTTTTTTAATTTTTCGATTCTTTAATTTTTTAATTTTTCATTTTTTTCGATTTCGTAAATTTTAGATTTTTGGATTTATCGCTTTCTCGCTTTTCTGGTTTTTCAGTTTTTCGATTTTTTAATCTTTCGTTTTTTTAAATGTTACACTTTTCGATTGTACCATGTTTTAATGAGCACTCGACAAATCGAAAAATTTTAAATGTAAAAATCGAAAACTTCTAAAATCAAAGAAACGAAATTAAAAAAATTCGGAATATTGATGATTCGTAAGTCTTTCGATTTTTCAATTTTTCGTCTTTTTAATGTTACATTTTTCGATTTCCCAATTTTTCTATTTTACATTTTTTTTTAATATTTCAATTTTCCGTTTGTTGATTTCTCGACATCTCGATTTCGATTTCTAGATTTCTAAATCTTTTGTTAAAGTTGAAAAAAATCAAATTTTTAAATTTCGAATATCAGGATTTTTCGATTAAACGAAAAGAATGTAAAAATTTTAAAATACTAACTTTTCAAAAAGTTTAAATCGGAGAAAATACTGAAATTTTAAAATTTAAAAATATAAATTTCAAATAAAACTAGAAAAATGATTAAAAGTAATTTTGAAATTTCAGAATCCTGGGTTAAGTATTTTAATTTTTCTGAGTTTCCATTAAATCTTTCGTCACTTTTAAAATCCCACCTAAATATTCGAGGTTGAAAAGTAAACATTTTTGAGTTTTGAATTGTTGGAATTTTGGATTGAATTCAGATGTTAAAATTTTAAACCGATGAAAACTTTTCACGAAGTCAAAATCGGAACAAAATATTGAAATTTTAAAATCCCGGAATATGAAATTTAAATAAAACTAGAAAAAACAGTTTATCGATTTAAAATCGAATTCAAATATTCTAACTTGCAAGAAGTTAACATTTTTTAATTTAAAATTTTTGGATTCTTGGATTAAACCTAGAATGATAAAATTTTAAAACAATAACTTTTCACAAAGTTGAAATCGGATTGCGATTTTTCGATTTTTCCATTTTTTGATTCTTCAATTTTTAGATTTTTCATTTTTTAGTTTTTTTTGGATTTCTAGATTTCGCGTTTTTTCAAATTTTTCATTTATTTTTTATTTTTAATTTTCGATTTAATTTTTTTTATTTTTCAGCTTATAATTTTAAACTGATGAAAACTTTTCACCAAGTCAAAATCGGAACAAAATATTGAAATTTTAAAATCCCGGAATATGAAATTTAAATAAAGCTAGAAAAAACAGTTTATCGATTTAAAATCAAATTCAAATATTCTAGCTTGCAAAAAGTTAACATTTTTTAATTTAAAATTTTTGGATTCTTGGATTAAACCTAGAATGATAAAATGTTAACACGAGAACATTTCACAAAGTTAAAATCGGATTGCGATTTCTCGATTTTTCGATTTTTTGATTCTTCAATTTTTAGATTTTTCATTTTTTGTTTTTTTTTGGATTTCTGGATTTCGCGTTTTTTCAAATTTTCCATTTATTTTTTATTCTTAATTTTCGATTTAATCTTTTTAATTTTTAAGGTTATAATTTTTTCAATTTTTCTATTTTTAAGTTTAATATTTTTGAATTTTTTCATTTTAAAAATTTTTCGAATTTTCAGTGTGTTCAATTTTTCCATTTCTAAATTCTTGATGTTTCCATTTTTAATTTTTCAAATTTTAATTTTTCGATTTCTGGGTTTTTCGATTTTTCGATTTTCCAATTTTTTCATGTTTGGATTTTCAATTTTTCGTTTTCCCAATTTATCTACGTACATTTCAGTTTGCGATTTCTGGATTTTTCGACTTTTTGATTCAATTTTTGGATTTTTTAATTTTTAAATTTTTGGATTTTTGGATTTCGCGTTTTTTCAAATTTTCCATTTATCAATTGAACAATTTTTCAGTATTTTAGTTTCGGGAATTTCCAATTTGATACTTTTAATTTTTTATTTCTTTAATTTTAGAATTTTCTCGTTTCATAGTTTTTCATTTTTTCAATTTTTCGTTTTTTAAATTTTATATTTTTGGATTTTTCATTTTAAAATTTTTCGAATTTTCAATTTATCATTTTTTCCCTTTCTAGATTCATTGGCATTTTGATGTTTCGATTTTTCGATTTTTTTTAAATTTAAATTTTTCAATTTTTCAAATTTTAATTTTTCTATTTCCCAATTTTTCAGTTTTTCGACTTCTCGACTTTTGGATTTCTCGATATTTTGTTGCTTCGATTTATCGATGTTTCCATTTTCCAGTTTTTCTGGTTTTTCAGTTTTTCGATTTTTTAATTTTTCGTTTTTCTAAATGTTACACTCTTCGATTTTACCATGTTTTAACGAGAACTCGACAAATCGAAAAATTTTAAATGTAAAAATTCGAAAACTTCTAAATCAAAAAACCGAAATGAAAAAAATTCGAACATCGAATTTTCGATTTCAATTCTCAAAATTTCGAATTTTTTTTAATTTCGTTTTTTTGGTTTTATAGCTTCTTAAATTTTAGATTTATCGATTCCTCGAGTTGATGATTCGAAAGTTTTTCGATTTTTCAATTTTTCGTCTTTTTAGTGTTACATTTTTCGATTTTCCAATTTTTCTATTTTAAATTTTTTTTATTTTTCGATTTCGATTTCTCGATTTCTAAATCTTTTGATGTTTCGATTTCTCGATGTTTCACTTTTTCAGTAGATATTTCATGTTTTGATTTCTCGGTTTTTTGATTTTTCAACTTTTCGTCAATTTTTCAAAACTTCCTTTTTCAAAATTCGATTTTTTTAAATTTCGATTTCAATTATTAATTCTTCGATTTTAGAATCTTATATTAAGAAAAAAAAAGCCAAAAATTAATCGGAATCATACGAATTTTCAGAATCTCATTTTTTAGATTTCCATTAAATCCCTCCTGATCTCTTTTAGACATTTTACACTTTTAAAACCTGCTTTAATATTAGGACTTGCAAAAGCAAAATTTTTAAATTTTAGGATATTTAGACTATTTTCAAAATGTTAAAATTTTAAAATGATAACTTTTCCTGAAGTTAAAATAAAAAAAATATGGTAAAATTTTGCAAGTAGGTTTAAAATTTCAACGTCATTCTTCCTATTTTTCTTTTTTTCGGAGACAGAATCAAAATTTTTTAATTTTTGAATGAATTTGGAAACTTGGAATATTAAAATTCTGAGTACCCACTTAGTATCTCAAAATTGAAAATTAAATTGAACAATTTAGAAACTCTTTTCTTTTCTTTTGGGTTTCAACAACTTCCATTATATGTATTTTAAGGTATAATTTGGAAATTTTTGCAGTGTTTTTGTTTTCTTTGAAGTATAAGTATATAATTTTTAGAATTCTGTCCTAAGTAATTTTTATTTATTTATTATTACTGATTGTTTTGGAGTTAGTACGCTTTTGTGGAAAAATTTTGAAACTCAACAAAAAATTTTTGGAATTACCTAGATTGTGTAGATTTTACCGGAATTCCGGAGAAAGTAATAATGTGTTTTTAATTGTTGTTTTTTATTTTTATACTCATTTACAGAACTACTGCTAGAATTCGCTACCTATTTACTAATTTACTGAAATTGTATTTTTTTACAAAATTTACTTAGTAAATTGTTGATAATTTAGGAACTTATTTTTGATTAAAGAAATTTTTGAAAATTTTTGAGTCGTCGAAATTTTTTTAAAATTTTTAAGCTCGATTTTTATCGCCAAGAACGCAAAACTGTGAACTCAATTAATTTCTCTCTAGAGGAATAAAATTATTAACACTCCATTAAAGTCTAAATTAAAAACTGAACACAAACAACCGCATCATCGCTTTTATTGTTGACGAATCAACATTACAAGTCCTATATTAATCAAATCACGAACCCACCCACAACCTCTACGCCTCAGAACTCCAACAAACCCAAGAAAAGCCCATTTTCCGCAGAAAAACTGAAAACCCCTGCGGCTGTGCGACCTTAACGAGCTAACAATCGCATACCTCATGCAAAAAACGCACTAATTAACACAATGATGCCAGACCTCCAACAATTACGCCATTCGTACACCGCATAATCCAAATTCTCGGAAGCTCCTCTCGCTTTCGTGCACAATATAGGCCAGCTCGAATTTCCAACCGCAAATGTCAATGACTCGACCCAATTGACAAGGCTGCGCGTTTTTTCGCGCTCGCCCTGTATATTCGAAACAATGAAACGCAATTGTCACGGCCGCCTCACCATCTCAAGAAATTCCGGAAACGGCAATTAGCACGGCGGAAATGTCATTATGACAATAACTCAATCATAATAATCGGGTGACGTAAAGTACTTTTTTCGATTTGGGAAATAGTCACGTGGCGGGGAAGGGATGATTGGCGTGCATATAACCCTACGGCTGCGAAAATGCCGGAGCAATCAAGTGTGCTGTGAAGACAAGTGAGTCACGTTAGATAAGGAGGGAGCACGCCGCCACCGTTCGAAAAAAGTGACAGTCGACGCTCGATTGTTTTGGATTTCAGAGCCAACTATGTGAAGGCGCGATTTGTTTTTCGGTTCCTAGTGCGACTGTGATATTTTTGTGATTTTTGCGAAATTGCGAAAATGGGGTTTCTGCCTAAGTTAGTACAAAAGTTTTGGGAGTACGGATCTGGACGGACGGTGAGTTTTTTTTTAATTAATTGCGGAGAATTTGCATTTTATCGCGCGTTATCTTCTCCCGGGACTCATGAATTTTAATTCCAAACCGATTTTTATTTATTTATTAATTTTTTTGGTTAAGGTTGTTATACCTTGACTTAGTTTTGGGTTTTCTTGGGAACGATAGTGGAAATTTGATAACGTTGCGACCTCGCAAACAAAGAATAAGTCTGGTCGAGAATGGGTATTGTTTGAGACATGTTAACAAAGGGAAACAAGATAAATTTATTTTGAAAATACATATGTGAAATTTTTTCTTCGATAAACACATTGTTGAATTAGTTTTGTTTATTGTCGTATGAACATGAAAAGCGTTAGTCAGCACAACAATTCTTTTTAGTTCTGGGTGAGCAGCGGCGTTTTTTGCGAGTTTTAAATAATTGTTAAATAATGTCACCTGCGTCAACGTATAATTTGGTGGCGCTTGTTTGTACAAAACTTCTGTTTAATTTTTTTTTCAAAAAAAAAAAACAAATTATTTTAATTGTTTTTTATTTCGATTGTTCGACTTTTTTTATAACTCTAGATTTCATGGCTCTGCTCTATGAGAATATATAATGTACAATTAAATCGAAGTAGGTTACTTTGGAATGAGGTTAGCCTGTTTTCAAAAAATGTTAAAGCACCGATTTACAAACAAACTGGTTTTTAATAACCAAATAAAAAATTTAAACCACAATATAGACGCTCAAAGTCAAAAAATATTTTTGAAAAAATGCACTTGTTTTTAGAACGATCCTAACTAGCACACCCGGTATATAATTTTTTTTTTAATTAATTCAGTGCGATAAAAATAACGTAAACACCATTAATTTTTTAATTACAAGTGAAGATAAATAACTCGATTATCAATTTATTGTTGACAGTTAAGAGTTCTACGCCCTAAATTAATTAATTCATTAATTTTCGGAAAAGCGGAAGTCTTGCCTCCATAACCTGTTAACGCAATTTTACAGCTATGCAACGTATTATCCAACAATTTACCGCAAATCCATTATCTTCGCTAATAAGCGAGATGTTGTGTTAAGCAAATCTTGTAAACACACACATCGACTAAAAAATTATTTGTCTTTCCTCAACGTCGTACGATTTTTTCGTAATATTTTTGCCTGGTTACCTAAAAACGAAACATAATCTTAATCACTGAAAAACGTTCAATTGCCCATTATTCATCCCACGCTTGTCAGTTAACAGAAATTAATTTCAGATAAACGAGTTTGTGTTTGTTTGTAGATTACTCCCGAGACACAATATCTTCGTAAAATTTAATTGAATCTGAAAGTTCCACTTTGATAAGATTTTTAACTACTGGCTTGTGTTGCTTTAGAAACGAAATGTTACAAACGTAAACTTTAATAGCAGGCCTTGGAAAAAGTTACCACTGGCTCTGTTTCCTGTAAAATAAAATCGTAGTTCGTGAATTGGAAAAACTACAATTAGCATAAAGTGTGATAACATACACACTTAAGTCACTTTGTCTAGACGCCGCAAAAAATATTATTCATTCATTTTTGGTGTTGCGGGTGTGCGTCACTTCAAAATTAAAACTGAGTTGAAAAATTTACTGTTATTATTATGGTTATTAGTAGGTTTTATTAATTAAATGATAAATAGAAATCAAGGCGAATCTAGTTTAATGCTGCTCTGCTCAACCTCAACACAGATGTAAATTTAAAATCAACACAAAATAAAAAAAGTGCAGAATTGTATACGCCAACGTAAAGAATTAACAACTCGGAGCGTAAAATTCGATATTGCAGTTGTTTGTTGTTTTTATTTGTGCAATTTAACGCAATTTGTGGCTTGAAAATTTGAAAAGAAACAGGAAAAAAAATCTGTTTTCCAAATTCTACTACAACGTTGCCAAGTTTTTCAAATTTTCCGGGTTATTATTGAACTCTGGGTTACAGCATTTTGTTTGACTGTGGTGTAAATAAAATTGGGTTTTAATAAACAGAGTGTTTATACAAAAAATTGAATTATACCAATTTTTTTAATTTCTTCCAGAATTTTAGATAATTTTTCTAACGATTTCGTCTTCTATTGCCTAAATGAAACACCCTGTATTTTAGGAGATAGATTACAAAAAAAATGTTTTCATTGAGACCATAATGGTATTGTTTTTGGGATTACGTTGCGTACACAGAGCTTTTTGCTGGTATTGGTTGTGCTTCAAAGGCAAGGAATACTCCGTGGAAATATTTTTTTGCATTTATGATTCCTCAGTTCTAAGTTTTTAACCGTTAACTTTTGTCGTTCGTTATTTATGTACTGGAATATGGCAGTAAAATAGGGTTCCTACATATTGTATTAAACGAAAATAGTTGACATTACCCGAAAAAAACGTACTCAATTTTGTCAAAGTATTGGTATTTGGACACAAAATTATAGGCCATAGATTCGTCTGCTAACTATTTTTTTAGTAATATACATACAGGGACCCTACTTCTAGATCAGAAAATTGTTTCTACATTAAGAATCTTTTAACTCACTTTTTTTATTAAATAAAATAATAAAAAAATAGACATCAAACTGATTTTTCCTTCTTTTGAATTTCACAACAAATTTCAAAAGTTTCCTCAATTTGAACTTAAAATTTGTGCTTAAAACGGTTTTATAAAAATTTTCAGGATTAAATATAAATTTAAATAACTGAACTGTCTAAATTATTAAATTACTTTAAATCAATTTTTTAAAGTTTGCTGTCTTTCGTAAGTACTTGTTTTCTTATTTTTACTTTATTTAACTTCAGGTGTTTATTACAGGATTTAAAATTTCAGTAAAAATTTGTCTCTCCTGTATATCAATTTTAAAAAATAAAAAAAATCAAAGCGTAAAGATGGTTAGACAGAACCTCTTACTGGTATGGGTTGTGCTTCAAAGGTAAGGAATCCTCTGCGGAAATATTTTTTTCATTTATGTTTCGGCAGTTGTGAGTTTTGAACCATTAATTTCTGTGGTTCGTTATGTATGTAGTGGAATATGACAATAAAATAGAGTCCCTGCATATTGTATTAAAAGAGAATTGTTGACATTTATCACCTATCATGTTGACCCGAAAAAAATACTCAATCTTGTCAAGATATTGACTGATATTTGGACACAATATTATAGGCGATAGATCCGTCACACTAGATTTTTTTTAATAATATACATACAGGGACTCTACTTCTAGGTTAGATATTTGTTTTACTCACTCTTTTTATTGGATAAAACTGTAAAAAAATAGACATCAAACTGATTTTTTCCTTTTTTTTGAATTTCAAAATTTTCCTCAATTTCAACTTTAAACTTGTGTTTAAAACGGTTTTAGAAAAATGTCCACGATGAAAAGATTTTAAGTAGCTGATTGTGCTTTATGAACGAGGAAAGTTCTATCTAAATTACTTTAAATCAATTTTCTTAAGTTATAAGATTTTTGTTTTTTCTGTTTTTGTTATATACTTATTTTCTTATTTTTACTTTTTCATCAGTCTTATATTTTTAAAATGGAACACCCTGTATTTCAGTCTATATTTTACAACATGTAATCCAGTTGAAACAGATTTAACTTCAGCTTTTTGTTGCAGGATTTAAAATTTCAGTGAAAATTTGTCTCCTATATAGCATATCTAAAAAAATAAAAAAAACCAAGGTGTAAAGATAGCTCTTGCTGGTATTGGTTGTTGTTGAAAGGCAAAGAATACTCTGTGGAAATATTTTCTTCCATTTATTGTTGAACTGTTAATTTTTGTGGTTCATTATTTATGTAGTGGAATATGGCAGTAAAATAGGGTCCCTACATATTGTATTAAAAGAGAATTATTGACATTTGTCACCTGTCATGTTTGCTCGAAAAAAATGTACTCAGTCTTGTCAAGGTATTTATAGGCAATAGGTCGGCCTGCTAACTATTTTTATAATAACATATGTAGAGGGACCCTACTTCTAAATCAGAAATTTGTTTCTACAGTAAAAATCTTTTAACTCACTTTTTTTGGACAAAATTATTTAAAAAATAGACATCAGACTGAGATTTTCCTTCTTTTAAATTTCAAAACAAATTTCAAAATTTTCCACAATTTCAACTTAAAACTTGTGTTTAAAACGGTTTAAAACCATATTAGAAAAATTTTCACGATGAAATGAATTTAAATAACTGATTGTCTTTTGCTGTCTTCTGTATACATTTTCTTATTTTTACCTTTTCATCTGTGAATTTTGGATACTTTTTCTGTTTCGTCTTACATTTTTCAAATAAAACACCCTGTATTTCGAATTGTATTTTACAACATCTAATCCAATTTCAATAAAATTCAAAAACTAACTAAATCGTAGTTTTTTCTTGTGTTTTTCTTTAATCGTGAACTCGTTAAACAAATTCTACTTCGGCTTCTTTGCTGCAGGATTTAAAATTTCTATAAAAAATTGTCTCTCCTATATAATATCATATCTAAAAAATAAAAAAATCAAAGCGTATTGGTTGTGCTTCAGAGACAAGGGACACTCAATGGAAATATTTCTTGCATTTATATTTCTTCATTACAGAGTTCTGAAGCGTCAATTTTTGTCGTTTCTTAATTATGTAATGGAATATGGCAAAGTAGAGTTCCTACATATTATAGTAAAAGACAATAGTTAACCTGTCATATTTACTCAAAAAAAAGTATCCAATTTTCTTAAAGTTTTGATCGATGTTTGAAGGGAATCTTATAAGCGATAAATCCGTCTACTAACTTTTTTTTTAAATATGCATACAGGGACCCTATTTGTTTCAATTAGATCAAAAATTTGTTTCTACAGTAAAAATCTTTTAACTCACTTTGTTTATTCGATAAAAATATAAAAAAAAATAGATCAGACTGATTTTTTCTTTCTTTTGTTTTTCAAAATAAATTTCAAAATTTTCTTCAATTTTAACTTAAAACTTGTGTTTAAAATGGATTCAAACGATTTTAGAAAAATGTTCACGATGAAATGGA